GTGGTTTTCTGTGATCAGGGAAGCGTGCCTACAGTTATCTTTCTGTATGCTACAGATCTCTATGGTGCCTCTTCTGCAGAATTCAAAGTGTGAAATATCAAGCAATGGCACACTCAGTACCTTAAGGTGACAGATGCTCCTGTACAGGAATCTGTCTGCATAATTTCATTATTCCCAAAAATACAGGAGGAGGAAGTGTGATTGTAACATGTGTGACCTTAGCATCTCCTATTCAGTCATGATATTTTTCAGTGATAAGTTATTACAGAGAACTGGAAAAAACGAAACAGAAATTAATTTGGTAGAGGTAAAGGTTCCCCTTGCACATATGTGCTAGTCGTTCCCGACTCTAGGGGGCGTTGCTCATCTCCGTTTCAAAGCCAAAGAGCCAGCGCTGTCTAAAGAAGACTCCATGGTCATGTGGCTAGCATGACTAAACACCAAAGGCGCACAGAACTCTGTTACCTTTCCACAAAAAGTGGTCCCTATTTTTCTACTTGCATTTTTACAGTGCTTTTAAACTGCTAGGTTGGCAGAAGCTGGGACAAGTAATTGAAGCTCACTCTGTTATGCAGCACTAGGGATATGAACCGCCGAACTGCCGACCTTTCTGGTCGACAAGCTCAGCGTCTAAGCCGCATCCCTTATTTATTTTTAAGAATAAGCCCCTTACTTATTCCATCTTTACCAAGGATGAAGATTGGTAATACCTCAGAAGACAGGCTCGGGAATCGAAAGGATCTTGATAGACTTTTAAGGTTGGGAAAATAGATCAAGATACAAGAGTGGCACTAGTGAGAAGGATCTTGTCATTCTGGTATGCTGCAAATTAAGCATGGGCCAACAGTGTGCTGCAGTTGCAAAAAGAACCAGTGCAATCTTGGATTGTATTAACAGAGGTAGGTATAGTGTCAAGATCATGGGAAGTGATTGTTCTGCTTTAAGCTGCATGAGTTGTTAGAGCACACGTGGAATTGTGTCCAGTTTTGGTCATAACAATACAAAAAGACAGAAGAATTGGAGAATGCAGAGAAGAAGTGTAAGGAAGATGATAATGGGCTTGGAGGCTAAATCTTAACACAGAATGATTACAGAATGATTAAAAGAACTGGTATACTTAGCCTAAAGAAGAAAAGGCTAAATGAAGACATGGCACTTTTCCATACTTGAAGGGCCATTATAGGTAAGTGGGTGTGGATTGTTCTCTATAACATCTGAGGATAGGACAAGAATCAATAGGTAAATATTTTACACAAAGAGATCTGTAACTCAAGATTAGAAGAGATTTCCTGGCTACGGGAACTTTTAAACAATTAAGCTAAAAGATGTGAATTATTCAGCTTGTGAGGCTACTGAAGGTTTTCAAGCAAACATTACACAGCTATTTGTCTAGGATGTTAGAGAAGGCTGTGTGTGCAGTGGTGTGCAGGCTTGGAACAGACTCATCTAAAAAGAATTAAAGAGCCAGTTTGGTTTACACGAAGGCATGTAGCCATTTAGTCAAAGCAGGAACTAAGGAATGCCGTAAATTTGATTCTGATTAACTCTGAATTAATTTGTCCTAAATTTGAAGGGATTAAAATACAGTTATCTATTCTCAAGAAAGGAAGTATGCAAACTTCTTTTCTGTAATGCAATTCAGCAGTTTCAGCACAGAGCATAGTTAGTGCTTGACATGACTGATCGTTTATCAACTGTTTGAAATTATGATGGGCCATATAGCACTTCCTGCTGTTGTAAAATGTCCCCCTCTATTTAATGATTGCATTTCCAGGTACTTGGTAAATGGCTTGCCTTTACAACCAGTTGCAGTGTTTCATGGAAGTTTGTCCCTTCCAACTCTGTTAATCTGTTAAAAACGTATCATGCATGATTGTAACCTGCAAATTTTTGCTGATTTTCAATGTTTTTTTGCCAATTTGCTGGCAAAAAACACCCATTTGAAAGAATTTGCATACTTAGGATTGTGACATTTGCTCAATGACCATGCTAATTCACTTAATGACTGCTGAAAAATATGTCATAACATTGGGTCCGGTCATGTGGGTGCATTGACTTAAAACTGTAACAATTTATGACTGGAAATCCAGTGCCAATTGCAGTTGTAAATTGAGGACTATCTCGTGTAATGTGTCAACTTAGAAAATTGTGGCTTATTATATGTACTCCAGAAGAACCTATCTCATTACTTTTGTTTATATTAAAATAATGATTTGAGGGAGATTGGTCAACCCATTTTATGAAATCATCAGAGGTTTCATTCCATTCAGGAATTGCAGGACTTGTGCTAGTTTTAGTGGGGTCAGAGTTAGGTTAGATGTAAAAAATGCTAGGTGTAAAAAAATACAAAGGCAAAAAGGATTATGCTTTCTCTACTTCCATGCAGTAATAAGGAAAAGTATGAAATTATTGGTTGCAAATGGTCTCTGGTATGAAATTTAAAGTTGTACATCAAGATTGAAGCTGGAATCTTTGTGCGTGAAAATATTATATAGTATAGAACCTATAAACTTGGTTCCAGTTCTATTTAAATAGAAAACAAAAGGTTTTACGATCTTATTGCCTAAAATGTAAGAAAATGAAATATATGTTTAAATGCTATTATAACCAATTTGTAGCATGCTGTAACAAATTAATCTATTGAGACAATCAAACAAAGGAGATCCATTCAGTTATTGACCACATTCATTGTGTAAATGGTTGCCAGTATGGCATTAGGTTATGGGCCTTGACTAGACTGTAGATCTATGTTCAAGTCTGCCTTAAACCTTGGACTTAATGATTAATTTTGTGTCATTCCTTTTCTTTTTACAGCCCAATTGACCTCCCATGAAAACCACACTGAGATTCTGGAGGAAATGAAGATTATATCTGTCACAAATACAACAAAATAGGATGTGTGTCAGGAATGGGATAAAGATGGAGAAAATAATAATGGGTTCACCAAATGAGGGTATTCATGCATTATGGGAACCAAATATTTGGATTCCACTTCTTAGAATGGACAAGATAGTTCACTGCCTGCCATTAGAACTTGGAAAGAAGAAAACTTGGAAAGGCCAGTCTATTGTAAGAGAGAATGAGGGAACTTCTAAACTAATTCTAAACTACAAAACATATTTTTCCTGTTACAAAGATGCACCTCACATTTGTGAATTAATGATAGGCATACTGATAATTCTGAAAAGAATTTTCCTGGGTTTGATGGATTTGTTTTAGGTTTCCTATGTTATTTGTTTATTTCATTATACTACTTTATTTATAAACATTAACAATGATGTCACTTGAACATGGATTATTAGGCAGATTATAAATTCAATAAATAAACAAGCAACAAACATGGAAAATAGAAGATCCCACTTTCTGTTCCCTGAAATTTTAAAAGGCGTCTCTGTGAAACCAGATATGCAATTTCCTATTGTCAATTGACAACAGACTATCCTTCCCCTGAGCCACAGTGGTGCAGTACTGCAGGCTATTTCTGCTGGTCACCAGCTGCCAGCAGTTTGGCAGTTCAAATCTCACCAGCTCAAGGTTGACTCACCCTTCCATTCTTCCGAGATCGGTAAAATGAGAACCCAGATTGTTGGGGGAAATATGCTAATTCTGTAAACTGCTTAATGAGGGCTGTGAAGCACTACGAAGTGGTATATAAGTCTACGTGCTATTGCTATTGCTTCTTCAACCAGGTCACACTTGGTGTGTTGGACCTCCTATATGAAGACTTGTCAGTCAGCTTAAAAGACAACAAAGACACTCCTTTGGGCAAGCCAGAGAGCTTGTGGACTAGGACAGGTAACACACAAACCAAGCAATAAAAAAGTTTGCTCCATTCACAAAGAAACCCGAGCAGAGTGTTAAATGTGTACTATGACATACTGGAGATTTAACAAGAGATCTTCTAGGTTCATGCACATTTTTATTGAGTAGTAATATAAAATGCTTTTTTTTTCATTGTTACAAGTGCATGCTTTGATTGCCAACATTTCATAAGTCAAATTACAAAGGCAAGGCTGTAGGCTGTAGTGAATTACTTGGGCACTTATACAATTGATAAAAAATATCAGTGGACTGTTTTGTTGGTTTTTCCTCCTCCTTTAAGACTGAACCAGTTGTAACCCGTAACTGATATATAAAGGGAAAAAAAGTGAAAAAAAATCACACATTTTGTGGCACATGACAGAACGTAACAAAATGACTAACTCATCATGACGTTAACAGTTCTCATGCATTTAGTTTCACATGTAACTACAAACTTAGTTTAAATTTCACAAGGTTTGCTAAACATGCTAACCATCTATATGTGCACTGACAAGCTTATATTAAAAACTTTTAAGAATACTCTCCCCCTTAGATTTTTTCAAAGCTTTTTTGATTACAAAATTTCAAAGGCATTAGCATTTTCTTTTTAGAGAATATAAAGTACGCCAGTATACATACATTTCCAGTATAAGTCAGACCACTAAGCGCATTACAGTCCCATACAGGCCTATACAGCCAATTTTTTTTTCTTAAAAAACATGCATAGGCAGATTTTTTACAGAATATAGATGCTTTCACTGCACTTAATATGGTGTCTTGTTCACTATACTTAAAAATGCACCACTCATAAATATTTAAATTCAGCAAGCCACAACCAAGACTTGATTTACCAAAAAAAAGGAAAGGAAAAAAAAGAAAAGAAGAAGAAAATAATCCTAAATATAAACTGAAACTAGTAAAAGAAAAAAAAGGATATCGTTATTCCAGTTTTTTTTCCTTAAAAACATAAATGAAAAAGATTTCTCACTGCCAAATTAATTAAGGTAAATGTTATAATTAAAGAAGGGTATTCAAGCACACTAAAGAAACCTGAGGTAAGCATAATGTGTACAAAATTAAATTGTCTTTTTTTTGGCATTTTTAACAAATTTGCAACATTCTCTTTTTCTTTTATATATCTTTTTAAAGATTGCCTAATTTTTTTTGTTTTGTTTCATTTTAGATAGCCGTCGTCTGACAAGAGTAGCAAAACATTATCAATAAATAGTCTCCTTATTTAGTTTGTACATCACTCTGTTAAAAATGGTTTGGATGTTGTCCATGTATAGTGCTGCAACTGTAAACGTACAATAGTTAGTAAGAAATCAGACAAAGTTGTCATGTCCAGTAACATAATAATAAAAGGCCTTTCAGTTAACATATCTAGAGGTTTCCAATGCAATAGGGAAACATGTTCATTCCCCTAACTTTGCAATATAGACCAACAATAGCTTTCGTTTATTTCTCTACAAGCATTTTAAAGGCATGTCCAAGGAGGTGTTCTACCTCCACCCCCACCCCACCAAAATAAAGTTTACTATCTCTTCTTAGATGATATTGTAAACTGAATCCAACATCTGGCCCCAGAGCAGGTAAGCTACTGTCAGAGGCAAGAAAATCCAACTGCTGTTGAGCAGCAGTCCCACGGTGCCCTGCTCAAAAACAAAAAAAATATCCCTGCGAGTCAAAATAGGTCACTGGATATTGCTGCTGTTACTGCCATTGCTGTCGGTGCCGTTCGTCTCTGAAGAGATCCCCTTGTTGATGGAGTTCAGGTTGGCATCGGAAGGCATGGCATCCCTGCGCGGGGGCATCCTCTCATTGATCCGGTCCAAGCCTTTGGCTTCTTCAAAGCTTGTGATCTTATGCTGTGGCGAGAATCCTTTGATAGCTGAAGAGAAAAAAGGGAAGCGGGGAAGAAAAGAGCCGCAACAAAACAAAACGGGAGAGAAAGTCAGTAGGGACGAAGGGCTGGGCTTTTCTATCAGCTTACTGATCAATGAGTGAGAAATTCCTTCAAAGTGAAGAAAAATAATAATAATGACAACGCAATTTAAAGCTTCTGGATGTAATTGGAAACAGCTAAAAGGTGAACAGCCAATGTCTCTTGAATGATTAATATGCTCCCAACAAAATCCAGTTCTGGCATTTTGTTCTGCAGTTTAGGCTAAATGAACAATTTTCAGGACAAGTAGAGTTCAGAGAGAGAGAGAGAGAAAGAAAAAAACCCCTATAATTGATTTTCTTAAGGACTGGAAGCCAATTCTCACTAAAGTTTTTTTGGGGGGGGTGAAGTGGTGGTGGCAGGAATTGATGAGCACAATTATTTCCTGTAGGAAATTTCATTTCTTTCCATAATGGTAACTGGAATTATAGCAAGAAATCTGTTTGGTCCTAGCACTGAGGAGATTAACTCAGTCTGATAACAACAATAAACTGTGAGTATGAATTTGAAACACCAATTTGAAACGAGGATTTTAAGAATATTTTGAATGAAGTGATAGGTTTTTTAAAAAAAACTGGATTGCCTTTAATAGATTCTTGAAAGGTCCTCATGGTTTCATTTGTGATAGAATATATGCTGATTTCATAGATTATTTTTATTTCTTTAAAATAAAAGGATGAAATTTAGTAATTTTGCTATTCTTAGCAACTTTCAAAGGCTTTAAAACAAATATTAAGATCTCAAAAGAGGAGTCTTCCAATCATTTTATAGTCACACTCCTAAATGAGCAAGCTTGCTATGCTACTCTCTATGGAAAATCCAGAGAAAAAATATAACAAATAGTTTACATTTTCAATCGCTATTAAGATAAACCAGGGGTGGGTTCTAGCCAGCGTTACTGCCGGTTTGCTCGTGCGCGCGCTTTGCATGCTGGATGCGCAGGCATGCACTGTTCAATGGAAATTTTTCTGTGCATGCGCAGAACTCCCAAAAAAGATGGTGGCAACCACAGTAAACCTGTTCCAGGGCGTGGCCAGCCTCAGTTGCTGCCGGTTCTGCGACCCAGGTCAGCATATCATTACCGGTTTGACTGAACCGGTCCGAACTGGTAGGAACCCACCTCTGATCCAAACTACAAATAGCATTGATTCTTTTGATCTTCTTGTAGGAATTATTCACATCTATTAACTGCTGTATTAGAGCCAAGATTTAAAAAAATCTTAAGGCTTTTTAAAATTGGGGTTTTTATTAAAGATCCTGATTAATCTAGAAGAAAGCCTTTTATTCACAACAATACTCTTACGGAAGCCACATTTAACTGTTGTTCAAACAGAATTTCTTTTTTAAAAAAAATGAAAAGAAAGGGGTTGCTGAGTTGGTGGCATACTACGCAACAGCTGGATTTCTTTATTGTGGTACACTGACTGCCCCATTGTTAAGGAACCTGCCTTGTATCTCTAAGATTCATCACTGAAGGAATTTTTTTTATTATATTGTACAGAAGACTTTCAGTGTTTTCAGCATAGCAGAACTGATTGTGTGCTATTCAAAAAAATAAAAATAAACTTCTGTCAATCCAAGACAATTATAAAGTATGGTGGTTGTTCAATGTGCCATGGACTCTGAATATAATTGTTTTAGCATATTTGTCATTCTTAGCTTTGAAAGTGTAAGAACAGGAGAGAAGGTAACTGAATTTAAAAAAGTGAATGAATCTTCCATTTAGCACTGGCATTGAGTTTCACATTGCTCTCACTAGATACTGCTTACTTTCTGTTCTCTTCAAGGGCTCCATGCAAACCACTTTTCAAAATGAAAATGGGGAGAATTTTGGGAGACAATCTGTTAATACTGCTTAACTTTTCAATTGCTGCTATTCTCCATGCTGCTTTTTATTTCAATAAAATTAAAATCAAATGTTTCATATTAGATTTCAAAAATGTTTGGTTATGTTTATTTCTGTTCAGTTTTTTTTAAACATGCACAGAGTCCAGCTAGTCCAAACAAAAACACAGGGGAAAATTATTGGATGGATGTGCGTAAAAGAAAGAGTGTAAAGAGATCCAAGTTTTGTTGATCTGTTGACTAATCAAATCTATTTTCTATTATTTTCTGAATTTTGAGATGATTTTCAATTTAGGTGTCCCTGGTATTATTAAACTTGGGTAAAATTTTGCAGAACTCCTCTCATCCTATTGTTTTGCCCACCACAGCCATGGAAATGAGAACTGCAGAAAGATCTGGAAGATTGACACCTCTCTCCCAAATTATGTGGTTTTTTTTATTCATTGTCAGATGAAATTATGTGGTTTTTTTATTCATTGTCAGATGAAATCCACAACATATTATGCCATCTGAAATGGCATTCAGTTTGTGAAAATCCCAACAAATTGCTGATGGATTGGATTTAAAGAACCAAGAGTGAAAAAGAAGTTATTAATTGTTTACTGCTACAAAATCTTGTCCAAGAGGCATTAATAATTACTGTGTTTCCCCCAAAATAAGACAGGGTCTTATTTTCTTCTGACCCCCAAAATAAGCACTTGGCCTTATTTTCAGGGAGGTCTTATTATTTTTGAGGTGCAGGAGGTGGCAAGCGTGGTTACCTCATAGCTGCTGCTGTGTTGCAATATTTTCAGGGGGAGCTTATTTTCTGGGGAGGGCTTATGTTAGTGCATGCACTCAAAAGTCTTATTATCCAAGGGGTTTTTATTTTTTGGGAAACAGGGTAAGTTGTTATACCTTTACTTGAACAAGAATTTTCAAGCATGCATATATATATATATATATATATGTATGAATTTGATTTTAGTTCTCTCAGGGAAGACTTCAGTATGAAGTATAAATTGGAACATATTTTTCACATATGGAATATTATTTCAGTTCAGTACTGGATATCAATCCAATACATTTGAAGTTTGTACACTGGCTTCTTTTAGACAACATAGTCTTTTGTAGAAAGACTAAAAATATCCTGTTTTTCCTGGCATTCTCTTTTCTCACATATCACTCAAATTTATAATGTCACCCATTGCCCACCAAATTTCAGAGATGTTTCAGAGCTAAGGGAAGGGTGAACAATGACTCTTCAGAACATTTCCTTTAAACGTTCACCATACGGCTGCCAGTTATGACCCATTCGGTTATGAACCAGGTGTATGAAGAATGGCAGTGAGGTAGAAGTGATCTTTGCTATTGGAGGTGTCCTGTAGCCTGGAGAGGCCACTGGTGAAGCTATATTTATAATCACGTTCTCTATTTGATTTCCCAAAGGAGAAAACCATTATAAAATAGTGATGAAGTAAAACTTCCATTACAGTGCAAGCTAATAATAAATAGAAGTTTAATCTGAACAAGATATATTTCCAGAATGGGAAGCATACTGTAAATTAATCTTTATGTCAAGAGGACATATTTATACATCATAGTGTTGAAGAATGTGTTCTGCTGCTGGTCAGACAATGATTATTAGCAGTTTACATTGAGAGTAATGCTAGAAACACAACACAGTCACACAAATCACAGGAAAAAAAAAACAGCCAAACTGTCAACAAGAATGCACACTGCAGAGTAGAATTTGCCAACAGGAATAGAGAATTCCAATGTAAATAGCAGCTTACTCACTGCTATTTAGAAAGCAGTTGTATTTTCTCTTACTTATTTCTATGATTCTTTTTCCACCTCTGTAACAAAAACTTTCTTAAAAGCAAAAATAGATAGGAGAAGCCAAAATGGTACTATTGTGTCTTGCCAGAAAGCTAATACTTTTTTTTTTCCTTAAGAAAAACTCACATTTTTATGTGGGCAAGAACAAAATACAACTGAATATATTTGTTTTGTTTTGTTTTAAAGGGGAATTTTAGAGAGTCTTCTCATCTTGCAAAACAATTTGAAATGTTAATTTTCTCATTGCACAGAACATATGTCATCATAAAAAATTGGAGACCTCTTAACTGCATGACTAACAGAATTTCATAGGTGTTGAAATGAAAGGTACGCTTAAGAGAGGCGGCTTAACATTTTGCATTCAAACTGCTCTGAGACAGTAATTCATTTGTGCCAGAAATCCTGTAAAATAATGCTGATGTTAAGGGCGGAATTACAGGAAGTTCCCAAGGCTTGAAAAAAAAAATACTGTCTTACCATCCTCTCATTTTTTGTAATGATTTTTTTCCCCTTCCCCCAGAGGGTATTTTAAAATGTGTTGAATTACAGAGAAGACCCATTAACTTTGCTATGGACTTCAATACAGGGGAAATTCCTTTCAATTTTACTTATGTACTCTTTTTTTCGGAGCTCGCTAAAGAGAACACGAGGAACAGATTGGTCGCCTCAAAGAAACTGCTTGTTTGCCAAATAACTTTAATTGGATTGCAAGCTTTCTTATCCTTCTGTGACACTGATTCAGCATCTGAAGCTTCATGGACACATATCAGAACATTTTTGCAACTTTTAAGAAACAACACCAACAACAAAAGAAACACTTTCCCCTTTAAAGCAAGTAAACTTAGGTTAATACTGAGCCACAATTGTTAGCTCAACACCCACACACTCTATACAAGCTACAGCAAAAAATGAATACACCCAGCAGAGCCCTTATCTGTTGTAAACACAACAGAAAGGGATCTGGCCAATTTACCTTCATCAGCCTCAATAGCCTCAACAGTAGCTGAAGAGAAGAAAGGGGTAGCAAAATGAATGAGAAAAATGAGCAGAGGATTTAACTCTCAGAACAAGTCAGTGAATAGCAAAGGAGCTAGTACACTTAAAGGTTACTGTAAGTGCTGGATTTTGACACAGAAGACAACACAAAAGGCCACATACAGAAACAAACACAGGTATTGTAACTTGCAGGCAATAGATTTCTTGTTTCCTTTTTGCAGGGGGTGGTGAAGAAGCATGTGATCAGGTATTTGAAAATGACCACAGTGGCTAAATAGAATATACATTGGAAGTTCCAATGATTCAGTCAATTTAGGACAAGAACAATTGCCGTATTTAATGGGGCAAGTTAAACAGAGGAGCGCCATATAGAGAAAACAAAACTTTAAGCAGGCAGAAGAAATCACCACCATTGCTGAAACAGCATTTCCTCTCAATTCCACTTCTTGGTAACCTTGAAAATGCCTTGGATTTCATCTCCCATTAGTCTCAGTAAATTGGGAGTTGAATTCCAATGCATTCAAAGGACATAGGGTTGTGGAAAGTTGGATTTAATAGCAGTTTTTTTTAAAGGAATATGCTATTTGTAAACTTTGGTGAGCATCTTTCCCCCCCATTTTCTGTTCATTCTCTATATACTTACACCAGTGTCCAACATTTTGTTTAACATATTTCTTATTATTTTTGAATGCACTGATCATATTTTGACGTAATCCATAAATGGTTGAAGTTCTAACGAATGTTAGAATTCTATGTTCTATATGTATCTATATGTACATTCTTGAATGGAACTAAAATATTGGAAAACAGGCCGTTTCATAGTTGTTGGCAGTGTAACACAGATTTAAAATTTGCCTTTTTAAAACTGGGCTTAAGAATATACAAGCGGAAATTACAAATATTCTTGTTAGCTTGAATTTCCTTGGACAACCAGTTGGGTCTAACATGCCTGTGTCTGACCAAATCAGAATATTGCACTTTTGCGAATGAAATGTTTAAATTAGACATCTGTGATATTTCATTAAATGCCATATTGCATCAAGGGTATGTTCCCCCATAGAATCTACAGCCTTTTGTTGTGGCGGGAGAATCAAATAATAAAAATAAATATGCATAATCAACATGAAAGAGGGAAAATAAAGAACAAAGATGAGCAACAAGATCTAAATTGCATGGAAATGTTGAAAATAATGACTACTAAGAATGAGCACATTTCACAGAATATATTGCCCATATTTTCTGTTAATTGCTCTTAACAGAAATTATGTGAATTTCAGTATATTTGATGGATGGTGCAAGATATTAACTAATGGGTGGGTATAGTAATGTTCTACTAGATTTAATACTGCAGTATTTGCCAGTGCATAGTTTTAATGAGACTTTTGAATGATGTGACAGAAGGAAACTTTACTTCTTTAACTAGGACTGCAGCATTTTTGGTAGACCAAATGATCTGAAAGTCAAATATCCTCCAGGCACTACAAATTGCATCAGTGTATCAAAAATATTCTGTCATACTGCAGCATTTACAAAGCAGAACATTACAATATGTGTAACACACAAGCCACCAAAAAGAGAGTTTACCACAGAATACCTGAATCTTCTAGATAAGAGAAAAAGAGACAAAAAGGGGAAAAGTACAGGGAAGAAACTCCAAGAAGAAATGGGAAAGTTAGAGGCTGAGACTGAGTTATTGGAAAGGCGAATGTCCATGTCTCATGGTTACTAAAAGTTGCATCATAATTACAGTAGGACACTCATGGGTGCATGAAATATATGTTAAAAACAAATAACAAAATAACAGTTATATACATTAATGAATTTGGTTGTGGCTCCTTACTTGCAGACGTTTATCCTACTAGCTATTCTCTATAATATAGTAATTCATACAAAATATGGTTTGATATAGTCATGGGTAAAAATGCTTTCCTGCTGCATTTAGATCAAAATCACAGCCTATGAATGAATGCTTTCTCAAGTTCGTTTTTGACTTCCCCATGTATGAATTTGTGATTTATTAATCACTAGATTTGCCATTAGATTTTTACCTATGAAGGAAACCTGGATTCCAATTCAAATGTGCAGATTTCCTTGAAGAAATATAAAAATAAAGGCACACTGTGGGGTGGGAGGAGGGAAGGCAGCATTGGAAGGTAGCATTTTGCTGTGGAAGGAGAAAAGGATGACATGTTCCTGAAAAATACTCAGATCTGTATCGCTGTATTGAGCTTTCTTCCCCAAAAATATCAGTATTCCTGAAACTTTGTTCCCCAATCTGCTCCTTGTGTTTATGAAACCACAATAGGCTCAGCCATTATGCTAAACGTGGGGCTAAAAGAAACCCCAGCCTATTGGGAGGCAGTTAAATGGAACTAGATAATGTGCTCACTATACCAGTCATATAGACTTGACTTTCTGTTTAGCATTGCTGCAGGAAAGAAACATATCAACAGCAGCAAGCCTAAGTGGAATACTAAGTGGAACCACAGAACAGAATACTGTTCTGTGGTTGGCCTTGCTCACATACCTGTTTTAACTTTCTCACAATACAGTGCTTATCACATATGCACTGCAAACACTGTCTGCTGGGAAGGTAACAATGATAGCTAGGCCAGCCAGACAAGCCAATAGGGACAGAACTTCCTGTCAGCATCCCACTAGGTCGGGGACTCCATGTGTGCGCTTGCTTACGGGAAGGAAAGTTTTTCAGAATTATGCAAGTTATTAACAATATTACCCAGATGTACTCATGTACAAGGGGAATATCTCTGCATTTATAAATTGAGCACTCGGTCCCACTTTGTACTCAGTCTCTTAAATGGGTGCAGAGTTACATTCTTGCTGTTCAAACCATTACATAGTAGATTAGGGAAAGAGCCTGGTTTGGTTTGAAATGCTCCCCAGGCATTTAGCTATACTATACTTAAATGCTCCGCAGGTATTTAGCTATACTATAAGGCAGATGAATTTTAGGAAGCCAGCACAGATATGAATTAGACATACTTTCCCCCAAGATTGTTGTGCTCCTTCTACAAGAGATTCCTTTCCGGAAATTAAGAAATAATCTATTTTTCTTCTAAATAATATCAAGCGGGATGAAACTGGCTTGGAATTTAGACTTGTCCTGTGTGTGTACGTGTGTGTATGTGTACGTGTGTGTGTGTGAGAAACCCAATTTTGTGAACTACGTTCCAGCTATGTGGTCTTTCCCTCAATTCTTTCTCTCTTGAAAATAACCATATTGTTATAATGGAAAGAGGATGAGAAATTTAGGTCTATCACAGTATACATGTGCAAAAGCACTTACCGCTTTGTAGAGTTTGTTTTCCTCCAGAGAGCACCCCGCTGGGCAGCATTCCTGTTGGGGTCAACCCTTTCAGTGTCAGGACACTCTCACTCTCTTCCCTGATAGGAACAGAATGAGACGTCAGCGGTGGCTAGCAACAGATACAATCAGAGGAAACAGGTTGTACAGCTGGGCCCTTCTAACACTTGAAGAACACTTCTGTTCTTACACCTTTTTTAATTGCAGCAAGCTGCTTTGGACGCCAGTCTTTTGAGTTAAAAAGCAGGAACATGTATAGTAAGCAGAACAAAATCCCCACTAATACAGGCCCAGGAGCTATGACATATTGTATACCCCTATACTGTCTGAGTCAGGGCTCTCCAACCTTGGCAACTTTAAGACTTGTGGACTTCAATTCCCAGTATTCCTCAGCCAGGAATACTGGGAATCGAAATCCACAAGTCTTAAAGTTCCAAGGTTGAAGACCCCTGGTCTAAGTGATTATAAATCTCAAGTCCATCTTGGTAAATAGACAATTTCATCTAAAAATGAGGAGAGTTTAGATAGTAAAAGCACTTTTTTTAAAAGAAAGAAGGTAAGAACACCTGATTATTAACCACATCATTATACTGGTGAATGTTCACATCACACTTTTTTTTTCTTCCATTCAATTTTGACCAGTTTTCAGCGACTGCTGAAGAAGTCCCTTCTTGGCAAGGGTTTTCAGAGGTGACTTACCACTGCTAGGGCGGAGAAAAAGTGACTGGCCCAAGATCACCCAGGTGGCTTCATGCCTAAAGTGGGACTAGAACTCATAATCTCCCAGTTCATAGCCTAATGTCTTAACCACTATACCAGCCTGGCTCTATATAAATGATATACCACCATTTCATCCGCTGAAAGTTCAGGAATAGTTTCTCTCCTTGGGCTGTCAGACTCTTAAAACAACCACAATCACTCCATGCAAACGCAGAAATGTATAACTAGTTTTTCTTTTTCCTAATTAATTGCATAGGGATTATTCTTTATACTATTTATGTTGTTTGCATTTTTTTGTCATGGATTGCACCAGTGAGGCTAAAACCAATTTCATTGTATACATGATTAACAATGATAATAAAGGCTATGCTATGCTATGCTATGCTATACTATAACTATTATTATTACTATACTATACAAATAATCTTTTGGAGTCAACATTCTGAGGACTGCTGAAGCAAATCAAAGATAGTGTTGGAGGCAAAAGGATGAAGGGGGGAACCATTCTTTTCTTGTATTTCCAACTCTCTTTTCTGTCTTCAAAATAGCTTCCAGGGAAAGATTTCTAATGCTCACCAACTACCAGGGAACTGGACTTCACTGTTTAGAACTTTTCCACTTATGGTAAAACTATAGGAAATTAGAGCAATGCCATACACAGTGCAGGCCCTCACATACATGGGGTGTTCACTCAGTTCTATTCATCACAACACTGGCAATATTTCAACAAGGCTCAGTACACTTTTGGCCTCCCAAATCCCTGGAGGAAGAAGTGATCTGCATCAGAATGGCCTCTAAACGAAAACATGTTTGCGCACTTATGTGGGTGAATATTTGATTTTGTTTTTGGCTTCAGGCAGCAAAACGTCTTTGAGTAACTTCTGCGGTTCAATCATCTGGCACAGTGGTTAGAGTGCAGTACTGCAGGCTACTTCTGTTGATCACCAGCTGCCAGCAGATTGGCAGATCGAATCTCACCAGGTTCAAGGTTGACTCAGCCTTCCATCCTTCTGAGGTCGGTAAAATGAGGACCCAGATTGTTGGGGGGAATATGCCGACTCTGTAAACCACTTAGAGAATGTTCTAAAGCACGATGGAGTGGGTGTACAAGTCTAAGGGCTATTGCTATCTGGATTGTTCTAAAGCTTGCAATATATAAAAATTCTGAGATGGCAAACTACAGTTAGTCTTCCAACTTACAAACACAATTGAGCTCAACATTTATGTTGCTAAGTGAGACAGCTGTTCAATTTTGGCCCATTTTATTACATTTCTTGCTATAGTTGTTAAGTGAATCATGGTGGTTGTTAAGTTAGGAATATGGTTGTTAAATGAATCTGGCTTCCCCATTGATTTTGCTTGTCAGAAGGTCTCAAAAGGTGATCACATAACTCCAGGGCACTGCAATTGTCATAAATATGAGCCAGTTGCCAAGTACATGAATTCTGATCACATGAGCATAGTGAAAAACATTGTGAAAAATTAAATAAATATTCTAAAAATCCAGTGCGAAAAACAGTCATGAGTCACTTTTTCGTTTTGAAATGCCATTGTAATTTCAAATGATCACTAGATGAATGGTTTCAAATCAAAGCCTACTTGTATGTCTATTCAGAGTTTGTATGACCTATCTGTATTGTGAACATACAACTGGCAGAAGGCAATTTCCTTTTTTTAATGAAGTTGATCAGGTAAAACCCTGAGGGAATGCATGGAAATGTCTTTTTGTTTTGTTTTGTTTTGTAGCCATGGTGGACTATTGGTTAGAATGCAGGCTGGCTCTGCTTCCTGCCAGGAGTTCATCCCTGAATGGCTCAAGGTTGACTCAGCCTTTCATCCTTCTGAGGTTGGTAAAATGAGGACCCAGATTGTTGGGGGCAATATGCTGACTCTGTAAACAGTTTAAAGAATACTTCAAATCAAGGGTACACAACTCCTGGTCCTCAGCACTCTACCGGGCCATGGCCTATTCGGAACTAGGCCATGTGAGAGGCTGACTGGAGTGCGCATGTGGCAGGCTGCTGGACACTCGCTTGCATGCATGCTGATCCGCAGGCACACATGCACGCACTGGCCCACCCATTGTGTGGCCCCGTTCCCATCTCCCCCACCCAACTGGGCTGCCAAATCACAAAGGTTGGGACTGCTATTGTAAAGCACAATAAAGCAGTGTAATAAGTGCTATTACTATTGTTATTTTGCTAAGGAGGGAATGAACAATAATTTTTAAAATACAGAGAAGCCCTACCTCAGTACAGAAAACACTCGAGCCATTTTCCCTATCGCCCGGATCTTGTTCCGTATAACCTCTTTTCGAGCTGCAGCTGTGGCTCCTATAAGGAGAGAAAAAAAGAAATAAAAATAATTTTAAAATTATTTTAGAATAATACCTGAACTTCAAGAACCCACAATAAATACATTTCATCTTCCACAAGTCTTTCCCCATAATCCTATAATTTTATTTTAATATAGTTCATGTGTGCAAAAATTACCTCAGCTATATGCTTTCTCTGTTTATTACAACCTGGATTTAGGCTTTGAATTATTTTTATTCTTTTACAGGATACAAATAATTGTCTGCAATGGTTCTATGATATAAGCTGTCACTTTTAAATTTTAATTTAAAGCTGCAAGTTAGAACACTTTAGAATAGAGTTATTATCTTTCCACTTGGGTTATATGCAGTTAAATTATATATTAAATAATACTAAAACATATACAGTTCTATTGATTCTCAGAATGCTTTCCCCTGCTTTTTGAAATATTTTCCCATTCCATTTATGTCTTTATTTTAATAAAAATGTATACTAAACTGCCACTGAGAAAATATTTTTACAAAGATTTTTTTTTAATTTTTGAATAAACACAAACAGAGAAAATCCATAAAAAACCCCACAAAACCATCTTCCATTACAAATTGTAGAAAGTGTTTTGATTGGTTACAAAAACTTCCGTGCATCCCTTCCAGTCATCACCTACAATTCATATCAAATCATATATTTTAAATTAAATATATTTATATATATTACTATCATCATATTTCAAACTTCATTTGACTATAATTGTTTTTACATCCTTTTATATAAAATATTTCAGATTTAAAGCAAAACCACATAATGGCATTCCATTAG